CAACACCGGTAATACCGGTATCACCGCGGGGGCGTTCCCTCTTTTCCTCGCTTTCCTTTGCTTTTAAATAGCTTGTAAAAGCGGCCTGCAGCATTTTGCTTTCACTTTCAAATAGCGGCAATTCGGAGTAAAGCAATTGTTCGTTTTTAGTTCGTTTGAATTTTCCCTCTTTTCCTCGCTTTCCTTCGCTTTTAAATAGCTTTCATTTTTGGGTGAACTAACCCTTTAAAAGGGGTCGGTCAGTGCGCGTTAATGTCCCTGGCAAACATCCCTGAAAACGCCAAAAAGCTTCACAGGTTGTTAAATCATTCCCGCAGGCGAAGTGAAGCGCTTGTTACTTCATTAAAATCAAATCCGGAATATTGACAAAATTAGACTTTTTAGGCTGCTCATTAATTTCAGTCTCTACAATACACGACTCTCTTTCTTTTCTCCTGCTAACGCATGTCGCATGTAACTAGGCTAATTTTACACAATAACTATTTCTGACATTTTTGACACAGGCTCTACGCACTGTTACTTTCATAATCATAATAACTTACATATAATGAAAATGCGGGCTCAGCTAGTTGTCAGGAAGGGAATCTCTCTGTAGTGGTTGCCATAGCGTCTGTCAGCCGTTGACAGGGTGAGCGTTTTGGCGCTTTCCTGCAGTAGAAAAGTGCAGGGCTGCCATATACCGCCACCGTGTGGCTCGGTGGTGCTTTGATCCAAGTTCTGTTTCGCACTGCGAGTTCAGTTTTTACCAAGGAGAATTCTGAAACCGTAGTGATTAAAATAATAATAACAATAATAATAATAATAAAGTGCATCCAGGTGGATGCTGCATACTGGTGGTGGATGAGGAGATACCCCCTGACGATGTAAAGCGCTTTGAGAGCCTAGAAAAGCGCTATATAAATGTAATGAATTATTATTATTATTATTATTATTATAAGTTTATTAAAACTACAATGGCTGACCGATTCTCCCGTAGTTGTAGTCCTTGAGGTTTCAGCATTCACGTTTGTGTGTAATTTGTGTTGTGGAAAAATGTGAAAGTCTATCGAAGTAATGTTAACCACATCTTATTCATAACTGAAACTAAACTGTCATAAACTGTCCGTGTTATTTTTATTTTCATCCACGAGGTGGCAACGCGCGTCTTGTGGTTGTTTTGATCGCTCATGCAGACATACAGCGAAAGAGAAACTTCGCATTTGCGGAAAAGAAAATATGCACAAATTAACAAAACCCAAGCTGGTTAAGATAAGAAGTGCCAACGAGGCCAAAAAATACGGAATTGCAGCTGCTAACATGAAGGAGCTTATTAAAAAAGGATGTAATTTACTAAAGGTATTAAAAAAAATGTGGTTTATTACTGATATCAGTATTAACGTTACTGTACAAAGCCTTTGGATGCCGCTGCTGTCAGACATTCATAATTAATATCTTATCCACAGGTATCCAGCTCCAAAGTACATGTCTGCTTATACGAGGATGGGACAGTAGTTACTGAAGAGTATTTTCAAAATCTTCCCGATAACACAGAACTTGTTCTCCTGCCCGAGGGACAGAGCTGGAATATTATGGACGTGAGTGAATTTCATTGACTTGACTGACACTTGGCCTGAAACCGGAAGACACTGCCTGAAGATAATCAACTATAATATTGTGATCAATTATAAATAATGTAACCAATCAGATTGCTTTGGCTTTTTCATTCTCTACAGTTGTTCATGAAATAAATCAAGTCCTGGGTTTGGACAGAGACACAGACCTTCTGATCAGTGCAGCGAAGGATCTTCTGTCAGATGAACATTCTCCCAAGCGGCGCAGAATCCTGGGAGACCTTCTGAGGAACCTGAGGGACAATTCAGAGGTGGAGAACAGAGAAGAAGATAAGGACTGGTTTGAAGGTAAGTGAGGGGAAATAACATAATATGCATTTACTGTATGTGTACTGGAACTGATTCTTCTGAGGCAACGTTAACACATTTACACATGTTCATACATACTTGAAGTTGATTTAATCACAAATGCTGTGATTCTTATTTGGGGGGGGCGGTACATTTGACACAAACCTAACCTGACCTATTTCACATTTCTTCTTATTGAAATTAATATATATTTATTTTAAAAAAGATATTGTCATTTTTATAGATAACATTATTAGGCTTTATTATCGCCTTGATTTCACACTGTTAATAATACTAAATAATGATACTAATTGGTTTTATTTAAAAACAAATATATACAATTTCATTAAATCTGTTGTTTATCATTTATATATTAGACATGTAATGACATCTTTATATTTTTAAATGTTAATATAAATATCATATGAAAATATACAGTATATTTCATATACTAAATGTGTTGCATATTTGTACGTTTTTTTGTTTTTTTTCTCATGTTTATATGTCAGGTATTGATGCCCAGTTTAAAACCAAGTCTGCTTACATGAAGTATAGCTGAGAGCAGAATTCGAGGATATTTGAAAGAGGTGTGACAAATGGCACTCAGTTAGTTTTTGAAATATTGTAGATATTTATTTTATTTAGTGGAGTTTATCATTTATTTCATGCAGCAAAGGAGGCCTGCCGCTATTCTGAAGGAGATGTATTGTTCACCGTCTGTAGGTTGATGGATATACGCAGACTATTCCAAATGCCAAGACAAAAAGTGAATATAAAAAGGTGGTGGAGATCCTGGCAGAGAAGCTGAAGGCTGCACGGTATAATGGCACCTATTTCGACAGATCGGAGAGGGACATCCACAGGCTCTGCACTCAAGAGGGCTGGTTCAGCTGCCAGGTGTCATTTCTAATGAGTCTTATTTAGTTCAGTCTAGCATCATTTTTCTTTGAAGGAAAAAATAAAACATCTGTCAATCACTGCTTTGTCAGTAGTTCCTGTTTGTGATTCTAAAAGACTTTTGCGCTAACAGTGTGCCTTTGATGAGAACAACTGCGCATTTCTTCACTCAATAAACCCGTACGGGAGAATCCTCTTCAGCACCTGGAATCTGGACCACTTGTGAGTAGTAAATCTTAAATGTAAATGTTCAAATAAAAACACATTTAAGTACACGTAAATCTTGATGTACATTTCAATATCAAAATATCTGTATTTAGCCATTCTGATAAAGATAACATTTTAAAATAAATTTTAGGGATAAGGAATAACATTCTGAAATCATAAAGCTGGTGTTTTTTAGGATAGAAAAGAAAAGGACTGTCATCCCCACATTCGCTGAGGCACTGAAGGGCAATAAGAGCGGCGATATAAACATGGATTATTTCTACAAACTGCTATTCACAAGGGAAAATCTCAAGCTCGTTCATATCATCTGCCACAAGAAAGGGGCCCATGAGCTCAGCTGTGACTCCCGAAAAATCTACAAACGGGTCAGGAGGACTGTGAAATGAAAGCACATCCATAATCCTCTTATGAAATATGCAGTTTAGGCCTGGGACACACTAGACAATTTTCAAATCTAAAACGATTTTAAAACCATGGGAGACCACAGACATGAAGATTTTTAGCCTTATAATCCTCTGAACGCAAGAGACCACACACTTGTCGATTGTAGGAATGATTTCACAGTGGCATGAGATCTCACGGACACTCGTGACTAGAGAAGAAAAACAAATAGAGGGCAATCAACGTTATCAGCTGGCTCTCCTGACGCGCGTTCTGTTTCACAGTGAAAAACAAAGTATAGAAAAGAATATGGGTGATGTTCTCTGCTTTCATGGCATGTTTGTGGCTGCCAAGTTTCAGCTATAGAAGCACGCAACATCCGGTAGGTGACGCTTGCTCGCTCTCATTGGCTATCGCGGGTATCACGTCAGAGGCAGCTCGATCAAGAGTCATAAATATCAAACATGTTTGATATTTATGATTTGAGTTCGGGGACGCTCCGTCTCGATCGGGAGCAGATAAATAATCGTAATGACACCACACAATAGAGGATTTTTTGGACCAAAAAATTGCTTGCGACAAGCCGCGAATCGGGCCACACCCTCCGATCGTTTGGGGGTGCAAATCGGCCTTAAAATAGTCTAGTGTGTAGCCAGCCTTATGCCTTGTCCAAATACCCACACTTGCGGTCTTTGCACATGACCACTTGAACACTTATATGACATATTTCCTATATTTAGTGTTAAGTGTTCAAGTGAGGATATAAGTGTTCAAGTGAGGATGAAGACCACAAGTGTGTGTCGAACTTTTCATTACCTGATGGGACACACTTATAGTGTTGTAAAAATGCAAGTGTTTACATAGCTTTATTTTAATTTTAATTTTAAATACTTTGCATTTTAAAATCAACTTCTAAATGTCTGTTCAGTAGTCCCTATAACATGACAATTTTAATTTGTGGTGCTTCTAATTAAGTGATAAAAAAGCAGTTGCAAATGTTGTACAAAATAAATATCACCACTACTCATCTTTGCACCAATAAAACGTAAAAACGCTGTTTTTCTACCAAATTATGTGTAATATCTAATTATATTCATATTTAACTTGCATTGGCAAGGTTTCCGTGACCTCTCGTGAGATCTCGGCAAAAAGTCTCACGATTTATTTCCAGAACATGATGCCTGATGGGACAAGGGGTGAGTGTGAAAGTTTCAGCTTTGGTGAATCACAAGCACTGATGCAAGTACTGAGGTCCTCAGGGCCATTTGATCTTATTATGAGGTTATATTGTGCTTCAGGTACACACATTTTTAATTGCAACTTTTAGTTTCAGTTATATACCAATTTTTGTACCAAAGCAACATTTCAGTTTAAATTATGTGAAAACATTTTTCAGGGTTTTATAACTGTGACCGATTTTATATTTAAATTTTTATTGGTTTATTTTAAGCACCAAATGTCTTTGAAAAGAGTGTTCCATGTGTGGGAACAGGATATCTTGTACAGTTAATGTTTGTAGTACTTCCATCAACAAACAATAGCCTTATTTACTGTACAAAATATACTCAAGCCTTCATTGAAAAAGATGTTTTCCAAAGCTGTTAATGAGGTTTATTTTCTCTGGACGGAGTATTGTAGCTTTCACATGATAATACACAGATGATTTGCCATTAAATATGTTCACAAAAATTGTATGTCATATACATACAAAGCATTTGGTAGCAAAAAAAAAAATACAAAATTTGCACTTGGTTTATCACTTCAATAGAAAAATATAAACTTTCTACAATTTTTACCTCATATAATTTGTACAGAGTAGAAGAGAAACTGCATTTTAAAATGTTACATCTTTGAGCCACTCGTGAAGTTAGTGCAAATTCTGTTCAATAAGATTATACAAATATCATCATATACAGACAAATCAAATTTCTGGTGAAGCCACATGCATAATACAGTTTGAAATTGTTGGTTTAAAATGACAACTTTTCATATCTTACAATAAAAGCCTCTTAATCTGAGATACTAACCAATATAAAGATCTTTACATCATAAACATATCAAAGAACAAAATAGCTACATGCTTTAATTTTGATTTATACAGCACCAAATCTGAAGTATTAAGTGTTTTTTTTTCCAAAACAAATCTATTCATTCTCAACAGAGAATGTTTAAAAGTGCCAAATTCATAATGTCCAAGCAAATGTTCAAATTGCTTTCAAAGTCTAAACAGCAAATTTGAGGCACTTGACTGATAAAACTGTATTTGTTGATTTCAGAGCACATTAATAAGGACTAGTGGTAGAAAACCCAGTGTACAGAAAGTTCTAGAAATTATAGCTTTCTTTCAGCACAAACCCCAATAACAATGGTTTTAGCTCGCACAAAACCCTCTTAATGTACATTCGTTTAGTGTGGCACATATATAAATGTTCCTAAGTTTATAATTAGGGATGCACTAATATTTTTGCCCTAGTTGATGTACCTCATTAAAACTGATAAATCAACACCATGCATCTCAGTGTAGCTCAAACGTTAAGAAGGCTTTTGGAATAAAATAGCTTGCTTTAAAACAATCAAGTCCATTTTACCAGCATAAAACTCCTTCCCTGTCAGTGGCAGACAGATTGAGTGACTGTGAGAGGAATTGTGTCCTCATAGCTGCTCGTCTTCACTGTCCTCTTTGGCATAGTAATGCATGCTCCTGTACTCTCTTCGACTCATTCTCTTGCTTCCTGGGGTTCTGCTTGGGGAATCCTGCAACAAATCAGGTCAGTCTCTTTTAAAACAAAGCCACATTCACACATTAAAACTGCATTAATTAATATAGTTGGCTATTGAGTTTATGCATCACGAAATCAGACACCTGCTGCGCTTTGACACCCAATTAAGCATCAACAGGCATTCATTGCAATAATCCTACATGATCTTGTATTAACCTCAATATTTTAGGATTACTGTGTGCAAACAAAGACATCTGGCTGCATGTTATTTATCTGGAAGCTTAACTTAGACCAGAGTTATGTTACTGGGGCAAAGGGCCATGAAAGTTCACATCCTGCATGGGCCGTCAACTGATATTTAAAGCATTTAATTCCATTTTTTTAAAGCTAATGTATTTCTTTTATATCCCAATAAAAGAAACTACATGTATTTTCTAAAAACAAACAAAAATAGTTTTTTTGTTTTTTTCTCCATTCTTACTGTTATAACAATGGGGTCAAATATAGATTCAAAAGAAAGTAGCAAGCAATAAAGTTAAAAAATGAATAAGTAATATTGATAAAATCAGTTGTGGAGGGAGGACTTTTAATTCATGTAACTACTTTGAAATCTACAATTGTGTGTGTGTGTATATATATATGGCTCCTATGTGTAGGTTTAGTAATTTCACTTTAATGGCTATCAATAGTCAATGGGTTATTTTCATTGCCATTAAAGTGAAATAACTGAACATAAACATAGGAGCCTGATAAACTGCTCATTTCATAAGAAAATTTCAAACGGCACTTAAGAGGCTTTTGCATCTGAACTCTTCATATATATTAATTTTATATTATCATTAAATATTATCATTTTTATTTTTTCTCTTTTTATATTCAAAACTGGGCAACGAGTTTCTTAACTGACATGTATTATAACTGTAATCCATGAGACATTTCAATTAATAATAAATTAACACTACTATATATCGATTTGATACTAGAGCCTCTACACAGACGTAAAACTCTGGTCACGTGACCATTTCCAATAGACGGGTAAAAATGTTCACATGAAATTATAACTGTTTGTACATGAAATTATATTTTCAAAATACATCAGTTATTTTTAGAACCTTGAAAGTCAAACGTAATTGCTGGTCACAGCTCGGAATTAAGTTCAAACAGCGCTATTTTGCGGCATTTCTGCACTGGTGCCTAATCATAACAACATGTGTTCTGAATCGGTTTAGCTTACCTGAACAACATCCATGTTCCCAAAGAACTGCTCCACTGGGAAAATGTGATTGCTGTCCTCGTCGAAGAAAATGCTCGGGTCCTCTGGCGTTTGGGGACTGTGAATTACGGTCTGGTCCATCTTCGCCTCTGCAGAGCCGCTTGTCAAAGCAGTGCACTTAGCGGCAGAGTTCTCCTTACCGCGCCGTTCACCCGGAGTCTTTTTCCCGGGCTTAATTTTGACGTTTTCATTCATGGTCGCGCTGGAGTTCTCCTCTACTTCGCCGTGAAACGGTCTCTTTGGAAGACGCTTGGCCTCGCCGCCTTCGCCAGCCATCTGCTGCACTGCGCTCGCGATATCAGACGCCGATCTCTGCATCAAACCGCGCAGAACCCTCCTCCGCACAGCCTTCTGTGGATAAAAGTCCAGTAATAAATGTATAAATAAATACAGTATCAGCGCGGTTTTAGACGTGGCTGATACATCGTGAGAAAGCTTGTTACATTGTAGCGCTTTACTGTAGCCGACAGAAGGAAACTACGGGGAGGAGAGGGTTGGGTAGACTGACACTGACCTTGACTGAACTTTTCACACCAGGCGCGTTTAAAGAGACAGTGCCGCGCACTCGCAGTCTGTGGCTCCCAAAGACAATCTGAAACAAGAGAGCACAGCTTATTAGGAACACTGTATGATCAATTAGATCAATTTCGTTAGAACAAAGATTTCGGTAAACGAATCCTTTTGTTCACTCCCATCCAAAGACACGTTTTTTGTTTAATGAGGTCTCTTTTTTTGCTTTTCTGCCTTAAAAGACCGACTACAGCACTTAACGAATATGCCTTTTAATAAACAAGCCATCATTCGTGAACAAACCAAATGAATGAATCATTTAGTTCGTGAACAATTTGAATGAACTGGGACAAAAATGTGAACCAGTCTAGTTCGCAACCAGGAGAGAAGGGGTGCGGAATGAACATGTAGAAATTAAAAGATAAGATGTTCGACTCGTAAACGGATACGGATTCGTAAACGGATCTTTCTATTAAACTGATTCAAAAGATTCGACTCACTGAGTGATTCAAAATCCCCAACCACTACTGCTGGAAAAAAAAGTTAACAAACGTACGTTTATAAAACAACCCGTGAAAAACAACTTGATTATAATACTACAAGACAAGGCACCAAGCTCCAAGCGAGACTCTTGCCAAAACTGTGAACTGACGTTGTTTTAGTAGCCTATCCTAATAAATTAAATTTCACACTGAAACATTGAATCGTAAACTGTTCAATAAAGTCTGCGTAAACTCGAAAGTGATCGTGCAGGTTTATGTAACACAAAAACGTATCTCAAAGATAAAAGCTTTCTTACCTGCTTCACCCTCATTGGAAGTTTCGGCGTCGAAAACCGAGTGTGGAGTCCTGCGAGTGTTTATCTCCCGTGACCGCTAAAGTCCCGCCCATATCAGATCATCTACGCGACACAGAATCACAAGACTGGAGCTGAAAACTTTACCAGGCTTTTCTGAGGCGGTGGCTGATACCCATCAATTAGTCCTTGTCCGCTTGTACAAGTTATAACCGTTATGACCAGTGCAAACGATTAAAATACATGGGATGGCAAGTTATTCTGGTCATAACTTTTTTAGGTCAGTTACAAAAGTAACAGTTAAAAGTAAAAGTTAAGTCAGTTAGATTGTTCTCATTTGAATAAAAATAAATACAACTGATTGCCCCTTATTTAACTGCTAGTTGGTCAAACTAGTTGTTAAGACAGTCTTAACAAAGAGGCTATGTTTATGGCCCTAAGTCCAGCTTCTACTGATGATGACATCCGTGGGAGAATTAATATGTGCGGTTTATATTCAAATATTTGACTCTGAGTACTGTATGTAACAATCATAAAACCATTTCCATAAAGGATTTTGTCATTCTTAACATTGCTTCATTTGCCTGACACATGACATCATCATAGTGGACATTATAGTCCAGCTGCAACATTTAACTGATTTCACATGGAAAATCCACTGTCAAATGAAAATGTTAACAGGTTTTAAAAGCATTTAGGTATTATGTGGCACCCTGCTGGAAAATGCAGCCAACACTAGGCCTGCTTTATGACGATTGTGATGATTACATGGTCTCTGGACCAAGCTGGTCATTTATGGCTATAAACCAACGGCAACTGGTTAGTTGTCTTACCTAGGACCAACATAACCAGCTTGGCAGACCATCAGTTAATCTGGGTGGGGCTGGCTGAACCAGTAGCAAGATTTTAGTACAGATCAAATATTAGGCTAAATTGTATAAAATGTTGTAAAGATATGTTTGTAGCTTTTATGATACAGAAAACACAATATGACTTAGGCTATGTAAATGTCTAATAATATAATTTAAATACATTTACATTTGATAGGACAATCTAATTTCATATGTAGTAGGCCTAGCCTACTATGTGTCGTGGCGTAGCCGTAGCCTATTGCAAATTCTGAGAATCATGCCGTTAAATTAATGTTGACTGACTCTAATGCTATGAACCACACGGTGGCGCTAAATACTAAAATTATGAGTTTAGTGCTAATCAACTCCTTGACAGCTTCGAGCATCTTTCTGAGTGTGCTTGTGAGAGGGACGTAAAAAGTGGGTTGCAAACCTTTAAAAATACGAGAAGTTACTTGAACTCCAATATTTACATACACTGAATAAGTAAGTAGCCTAGTTCTCACTCAAACTCCTCTTGGGGACCCTCATTTACTACGCTTGCACAGCTGTCGTGTGTAACCAGAGATCCTGTAGCAGGTAGGTGTCGTTAAGGTGGAGGAGAGAGGAGGGCAGACAGCCGATTGTTTTACAGGATGACTGCCTCCCATTTTCAGCAGTTCAACGATGGAACTTGAAGCGAGAAGAACCTGTTGCGACAATTAGTGACGACGGGACAAGAGACTAAAACGAAAGAAAGTGGAGAAGACAGTTTTTAAGCTTTGTCAAAATGCCTTTTTATGGACTATTCGCTCATTTTTATATTTCCATAACACTTGGAAAATTAATTACAGCGGACCTGGCTGACTTTTCATGACAAATCCATTGGCCACCCGAATGGACTGCTCTCTGAGGAGCATGTGCGTAATGGAATTCTTCTTTCGAAAGAAAAAGAATTTAAGGACTGCGGTCAGCCTGACTTTGGTTTTTGCCACTTTACTGATGCTTCAGAAGTTAATAACAGTGGACACGAATTTCAAAGATATCAAAGTCGACGTGAAACGCAAATGGTGTGGCCCCACATGTAAAAGCATAAAGGCTATTGAAAATTCATCCAACGGTAATGGCTTGGCGCCGGTGGGAAAACCCATGCCAAGAAAATGGGACGTGGATAAAATTCAGTGTCGTGAAAATTCGACGATGAAGACCCAAGCCTGGTTTCGTCGTTTGAGCCCAAAATTTCACGAATTTGTCCTGCACAGACATTGCAGATACTACCCAATGTTGCTGAATCACCCGGAGAAGTGCAGCAGTGATGTGGATGTTCTGGTCGTGGTCAAATCGGTTATCGAAGAGCATGACCGGCGAGAAGCCGTGAGGCAGACCTGGGGTAAGGAGCAAGAAATCCAGGGCTTGAAAATCAAAACACTATTTTTATTAGGCACTCCAGCCACTGGCAAAGACGCGCGAAATTTACAAGCCCTGGTCCAATATGAAGACCGAGCCTATGGGGACATCTTACAGTGGGACTTTATGGACACCTTCTTCAACCTCACCTTAAAGGAGGTGAACTTTCTGAGATGGTTCAACATCTACTGTAGTGGAGTTCCCTTCATCTTCAAAGGGGACGATGATGTTTTTGTCCACACCAAGAACCTGGTGGAACTAATTGGCTTTAGGGTGGAGGAGAACAGGGTGGAAAACCTCATTGTAGGAGACACCATTTTAGAAGCCAAACCGATCAGAAATCACCAGAGTAAATATTTCATTCCCAAAGAGTTGTATGATAAACGCTATCCACCTTATTTGGGTGGAGGAGGATTTCTCATGTCTTCTCTGGTGGCCCGCAAGCTCTTTGCGGTTTCTGAGAGCGTGGAGCTTTACCCCATTGATGATGTGTTTCTGGGCATGTGCCTTCTGAAGCTGAAGATCGTCCCCGAGCTGCATCTGGCCTTCCGGACATTTGGGATCATTAAGCGTAAAGTGACTCCTCTGAACCGGGAGCCGTGCTTCTTTCGTAGCCTCATCGTGGTGCACAAACTCGTACCGCAGGAGCTGCTGCAAATGTGGAGGCTTGTTCAAAACGAGGACTTGAACTGCACCAGACAAGTTGTAATACGATAAGATGAGTATTTATAAAGACAGAGAGAAGTTTTTTTTTTTTTTCAAACGAAGCGTATTTGTAATATTTACAATTAATACAATAAATACAATACGTATTTCATCTTTTCTTTTTGAGATTTTGTAAGAAAGGATGATGATTACTTGTGTTATCAACTGTACACTCTAAAAAATGCTGGGTTAAATACAACCCAGTGCTGGGTAAAATAGGGACAAACCCAGCAATTGGGTTGTTTTGACCCAGCGGTTGGGTTACTACCCAGAAGGTTGGGTTAAACATTTAACCCAACCGCTGGGTCAAAACAGCCCAATTGCTGGGCTTGTCCCTATTTTACCCAGAACTGGGTTGTATTTAACCCAGCATTTTTTAGAGTGTAAAATGTAATAAATCACAAGTCTTTCAATTATGGTCTTATCATCTACAGGGAACAAATATAAACCCAATCGATACATTTTTGAATATTATATAAGCATATAGATCTTGCTCAACCATGTTTACTCCAGTGAATATTGGATTTTTTTTCCTCCAAGTATTCTAAACACATACCTTGACTTGGCTAAAAAGATAAAACCCACAGAAAAAAATAATAATAATATAAATAAATGGAAAAAGATGCCAAATAAACACAAGTGTACCTTTATGACAACATGCTCCAATGGCGGAACAAAGCAACAGGTTAATGTAAAAGGTAACATACAAATATGTAACACCTGTTTTGGCCAACAAATAATGGAATTAATTGATTATATATATTTACATTTAAAACAATAACATTTAAAACTCATGTAAATTGTCCCAACCTGGAAAATGTTTCACTGCAATACCTTCATTATTTATTTGATTCTTGTCTTCATGTATGCTAGTGTGTTTACTGTTTTTAATAGCTGTTTGTTAAAGATGATATTGGAATTTTAGAAGGAGAGAATTCACAGTGTTTAGAATTGAAGGGGGGTTAGAGCAGGTGTTTAAAACCAACATTAACCACATGTGTAATTTGACTTGACCAAAAAAAAAAACATATATAAGCTAATCTACTAAGATCAAAAATACATTTAAAATGTATTTCTATGCCAATTATGATGCACCAAACACAGCTAGAAATTCATTAGAAGAATTTTTGAATGTCCTAATGGATACTGTAGCTTTTAAACACCATAAAAGTATGATTAACCTATTCTAAAAGTTTAGAATGTGATATGCTATATTCCACATATTCTAAAGTCACTCTGCACCATACAGTAGCTTTGTGTGAGGAACAGTTTGAAATTGAAGTCATTATTCACTCCTATGGTGCTTACATCTTCAACATAATTTAATACAACTCAATTGAAATGTTCTCTATGGTGTTCCATGTAAGAAAGTAAGTCATACAAGTTTGAAATGACACGAGGTTGAGTAGATGACATTGATCTGCATCATTTCATTTGTGAGTGAATAACATTGCATGATAAACACACCACCATCAACATTTCATTTTTCAGATGTGTTGTTTTGGTTTGGTGTTTGTCACAATCAAAAACTTTTACAAAGCTAAATTGTATTTTTACATTATTACATTAGAGTATTTTAACAGATCAAAAAACAAGCATGTGACAAAACTTTATTCAAATACATTTATTAAAACAGCTTCTAACAAGCTACAAAGCAGATATTAGCTTCTGTTGATATCAATGCACATATAGCTGAGGGGCATTGAATTAATGTGTCGTGACTGACAATTCAAATTACCATCAGTATAAATCTTTTAAATCTTGTTTCATAATGTGTCTTAAATTGTCTTCATTGCATGCCTAAGAGCAAACGCTTAATCTGTACAGACAACATTAAAGTTGTGAACTGTACACCTGAGGAAAATAGAAAGTGGCCAGACTAAGACTGCACCTATAAAGTACTTTCTAATTTGCAGGTAAATTAATTTAGGGTTCCCAAAAAAAGTTTGCAATCATGTCCTTGAGGACTGTCTGACAGCAAACATTAGTGCAACATTTTCAGGTACCTCCTCCAGATTACTATGATACGACTCTGCTGTGCTTCTTAATTCTGCTACTATAATGAAAATAAATCCAAATGAAAGCAAACAACAAAAAAAGCTCTACTCCACAAAAAAGCAATATATGATATTCTACCATTATCACCTAAATCCAAATGAAAGCAAACAACAAAAAAGCTCTACTCCACAAAAAAACAATACATGATATTCTA